ACAGCCCCTGGCGATCTCACCAGCTGCCCTCCGTGCTTCCATTTGATAATGTTCACCTGCTCCCTCTCGTTGATATGCAAACATGCAGCTTATTTCAGCTTATTCCCTAAGCCTCATCTTGACATGAAGTCATCTTTTCTCTGGGTGTGCTTCTTTGAGTGGCCATTATCTGAACTCTGAAACATCCTGTAGCAACATAGGCATCTCTGAGAAATAAAAATGTCGCATAGCCCTGACAACAGAGACCAGAGGAATAACTGCCTGGATAGATGACAGTGCAACCATGAGCCCCCATAATCTGCCATTTAAACCCCCATCTCACCATTGTCTGGTGACTCTATCACACCTACAAATACTGAAGAGCAAATAGGAATTTCTTGGACTCCGGCTGTAGAAAGTGTTTGGCTAATCCTGTTTCATGCTATCCTAATTGTTTTCCTTATATTCAACTCAGGTCGACTTTGCTAGAGGTGCCCTCAACCAGTCCAGCGGTCATTTTTTCTTGCTACATAAGCATGATGAAGTTAACGTGTTGCCCCATTGTGATCTGTCAGCTATCCTAACAAAAAATTCACTCTGCAAATACCAGGAGGTACCAAAAAAGCAATCTGAGCTTCCTGCTTTTTCATGCTTTGGCTATGTGACCTTTCCTGTCAAAAGTTCAGGGGGAGTCAGGGATAAAGTTCTAACTCTGGTGTGCCTCGTTTCTGGTGTGTAGATACCAGGCACGTAAGCAAGATTTGAACAAGAGGGTGTGTGATTTTTCAACTTTGAGGAAAATATTGCTATTGAACTTTTTTAGGAGTGTGAAAAACTCGCTGTCCTAGGGCGAACTCTGTCAATCTTTGATCAGCGTCTATTCTCCCTGGTATAGTTATGAGAAACAATATTAAAATATCTAATTCTTTAGTTTCAAAGCAGAGTACACACAAGGATATAATATAATTTGCAATTTGTTTATTACTGAAAAGTGATAGCATAGAATTGGGACAATTGTCCACATAATTGAAGCAGAAATAGACCCTTAATCACAATTTTCTGCATTTATCAAACGATAATGTTGTGGTGTTGACCTGATTTTATGGGTGAGTTGCCTCCAATTCTGTATTTCACTTTGTATCAGACCATGAGAAATTTCCATCCCAACCCTGTAACCACAATCCTAACACCATCCCTTTAACACATCTCTTTAACTCTGTCCCTTTAATATCATTTACCTTGGATCTTATAAAGTGACCACATAAAATCTTACTTTTGAATGTCACCCTAGATAAACCACAAAGTTGTCAATTTGGAGAAGTAGCCCAGATGTGTGCGTAACAGTCAGGGGATTCAAAAAGAAGAGTTTTTAAAATCAAGATTTGAGTCAAGTTATTTACTTCCTACTGGTAAATTGCACCCATTATAAAACAGAGACATCAAGATCGTGTTGTGAGGATTAATGAGATCGCGTTGGTTAAGTGCTCTAAATTCTTTGGAGATAGATTCCATCTTTTACCACCTGGGTGCATGACAAAAAAAACCTCCAGCTTTCTTTGCTGCACACTGTATAGAGTCAGCAACAGCCAGTAGTCTTTACTCATCTTCTTTCATCTCTTTAGTAATTAATGTTGTTAGAGGAGAGAATGTTATGAACCAAAGCTAAAAGTGAAGTAAAGGCAGATAACTAAGAAGGCAAATAAGAAATTGATTACTACAATTTTTACCCAATACATTAACCTTATAGCCAAATATCACCAAACTCATTTGTTAGTCTACATAGCAAAGCAGAATGAGCAAGAAGTTTAGAATAAGAGCAAATTGGATTCAAATTCTGGTTCTACTGGATGGATACCTCTCCTTAAACTTCAATCTCTGCATCTATAAAATGTCACAACAAACTTCCTTCTAATAATCACCATCAAAGTAATTCAGATCCACACTCCGATTGAGAACAAGAAAAACAGCTGAACAAAATATTTATAATAATAATAATTTATTCTTAAAAAATCAAAGAGATAGCAAGAAACTAAGGAATTACTGAACCAAAATCTAAAAGACAAGATTCCAGCAAAGTTAGATCAAAACTCAAAGCCACTTTTGCTCTGAAGGCATCTGCTGATCTAGAAAAAATAAAATAGTGGCAAAACTGAGCTGAGCTTTTGGCAGCCTTATTGACTGAGAGTGAAAAGGTAAAATCTAGACTCTACCAAAGCTGGGAACTCTGAGAAACCAGCCCTAGTCTAACCTCAAATCCTATACCCTCAGGGCAAAGGGCCCCGGAAGTGCCCAGTCCTACCACAGACCTGCAGGATTCTCGACACCCCAGAGAACCTCAGGCCTCAGACTGGGATCAAAAGATTTTCCTAGGAGAGGCTCCTGGGAGCACTGTGTGTCTGGGTCAATGATGGCTCAATAAATGTTCACTCATAATGCAAGCTTTTACATTTAAAGCATCCTTTCATATGTGTGTTATATTTCATTTATAAAAGGTTTGTTAATACAATGATAACACATCTTTCAGGCTTATGATTGGAATTTGATGAGACCTTTGATATCAAGGTTTCAGCATAATGCTGAATTAGTCACATATTAGCCTTATTGTCCTTTGCCTTACCTTCATTTCTTTCTCTCAATTTCATGTCTTTTCTTCTTTCCTTTGCCCCTTTCTTTCTTCAACACTCAGGTTCAACCTCCTCTCTCAGTCCCAATCCCCTAATAGCCTCCCCGTTAGTTGCTTCTCCATATTATGAATTACTGCTAAGTTTAGTCACATCACATAAGAAATAGTGTGAAAAGGGGCAAAGTGAGCCCATAGCAATATTAAGGCTACTTTAGCATGTGTTGCAAAATTTTTTCTAAAATAATAAATTTGAAGAGGTTGTTATTTTATGTATTTGTGAATCCATCTATTTCAATGCCTCCATTGTTAGGTGTTGAGTGGAGGACATGTGACCAATATTAGCCAGATGCAGGAAAGAGCAGAAAAGAAGTCCAAGAATGATTCCTGTTCTTCAGGGTGCGCTTCAGCTGTAGCTAAAGGAAATAAACAAAAACATACCAAACAATTAGAGAAACAATGGGAATTCAGAAGACTGTGTGAGGAAGGTAGGACTTCAACTGTAAATTAAGGGTGAATGACACTAGAAGTGCCAAGGAAAGAACAGAGATGATGCTGCCCCAGAGAGTGAGGAATCCAACACAGAGGACAGGAACAGAGGGAGTGCCAGCTGGAAGACAACGGTGAGTACATGAAAGTGAGTGCCCACTGTGTGTTGTATACCATTCTGCACATCTTACAGATGTTATCCCACTTTCAAAGCCTCTAGAAGCCTTAGCAAGCGGGCATTACCATCATTTTACAGATAATAAATTGAGGCTGAAAATGGTCATAGTGCAGAGCTTGTAAGTGGTGAAGCTAGAATTTGAAGCCAGTTCAACAGGACACCAAGACCTGTGCTCTTGACTACTACCCCAGAATGCATTTCATTAGGGTCATTTTATGGAAGTCATGGGGTCGTGTTATGTTGTAGGCAATAGCCAAATGGCAGCTAATCATTACAGGTTCTTGAGGATAAAAATAAAATGCTAAAAGCAGTTTTTAGAGCAATTTCTCAGATCTGGACATGAGAGAACAGACAGAATTTGGTTATGACCAAATGAGTTGGACCAAATAGAAGATTGTGGGCTATATCCGGGGGTTGTTGTGTTCTGGTCTTAGACCAAGTGGGAGGCTGTGAGAACAGAGACCAATGGGTGAACCTAAAAACCAATTCAAAGGAGGAAAAGAAGGACATGTTGACATTGGCTAAAGAGAAGATGGAAAAAGAAAAATCAAAGAAAATCTGAGATAGAAATGGCAAAAAAAAAAAAATATATATATATATATATATATATATAAAGTTGACAAGCAGACGACAGACAACGCAAGCAATTTCTATGAGAAGAAAGGGACTTCAGGTTTTAATGTGTTCAGTTTGGGGCAATGGCAAGACATACGGAGGTGGGTTTATAATAAGCATTGAGAAACCCTTGGATAAGAGACCACAGTAAGGGGATTGGCCTGGTGGCATAGTGGTTAAGCTCATGTGCTCAGCTTCAGAGGCCCAGGGTTTGCAGGCCCAGATCCCAGGTGCGGACCTAGCACCACTTGTCAAGGCACGCTGTGGCAGCATCCCACATAAAATAGAGGAAGATTGGCACAGATGTTAGCTCAGGGCCAAACTTCCTCACACACGAAAAAACAGAGAGACCACAGTAAGATGTCTGTGAAACAGCAAACAGGTGAAGCATCAGGGTGTCAGTAAGATAACTATTATTTTGTAAAGACCCAGAGGCTTCTTATAGGAAAGATGCAGCATAAGTACAAAAATGAGACATAATGAGAAAATTTCTCCCACCTGCCATTTGCCTAAATTTCTCTTCATTTCACACTTTTCTCTCAGTACTCACTAACTGTTAGGCGGGCATGTCGTAATTCTCCCTCCACATCTTAATTTCTGCCCGTGTTTGTTTGTTCAGATGAGCTGTGCCTTTAATCCTGCCCTACTTTTGCGCTGTCTCAAATAATAAGGGCAATAATGACCGGAATCTGTCTATTTCAGTCTATACAGCACTGATTGGTTTGATATCCCTCTATACCATGTTATTTTACAGTAAACATAAGATTAAACTCAATTACGTTGAAGATTAAATTCTTTAACGTCAGCCTTTCTAATGAAACTGACCTCATAACTCTCTTTGCATGACCTTTGTAACATTACTTTGGGTAAAGGCTGAGCTACTACTGAAAAAAAAAAACCTCAAAATACAGGGGCTCAGCAACATGAAATTTTATTTTTCGCTCTTATCGTAGTTGAAAAAGAGCAGTTACGGTCTGATGGGATGGCTCGGACATTCTCAACTCATGGCTCCCACCATAGAGACTAAGCTGGCTGTGCTAGCCACTGGTAAGGGGAAAAGAGAGAAAGGAGGGCAGTCAGCTTCCTTTTTTTAAAAGAATGACACAGAACGTACACACATCACTTCTACTCACACTTTATTGTTCTAGACTTAGTTACATGACTCAGAGCTAGCTCAAGGAGGCTGGGAAATATGGCTTCTAATTGGGTGGTCTTGTACCAGCTAAAATGGGAGAAGAGCAGGAAAATCAGAGCTCCAATACTGAAAAAAAAAAAAGGAGAATGGATTTGTGGCAACAATTAGCAGACTCGACCACATCGGATTCAGAACCCCACTGCACCCCCATGCTGTTCTCTTCCTTGAATAAGACCTTCCTCTCCAGCTGTCAAACTAATTTTTAAAGCAGTAAATCCATTTTGTAGTATTGTTTTCAAATGTAGCACATTACTGTTTAAAAAAGCTGAAGGGAGCGCTCCTTGGGTTGAAATGAGGAAGTGAGGGGCCAGAATGAGCATCTGAGTCTCCTCTTGTCGCTCCCCCACTCATTTCGTGGGAGCTCGTTGACTCTAAGAAACAAAATTTGGAAACTGTTCTCATGGCATTTATTACCCAAAAAAGAATGTGTCATGCTTCTTAAACAGTCAAACACAACCAGTGAGAATCACTCTCTCCCATTTAAATAATGAAAAGTCCTCTTCCAAGCCTGATTTACATCATCTTGTCAGCTAAGTGAACATCCATGGAAGTGAGCACAGAGCCATTTGCCAGCTCTTCCCAAGAGTGCTTCTGACCTTGCAGAACGCCCCGCCAAGCATGAATTAATAATCATGTTGATGCAAAGGATAAAAGAGGAGGCTATTTCTGTGATTCCTCCCCACAAATCTAATCTTGACAAATGAAATAATGTTACGTCTCATTAGCTAATAAACTGTCTAGATTGGAATTGCACGTAGGGGTAGAAATGAGCTCAAATTATGCCTAATACTCTGGGAAACAACTTTTCATCTTCATTTCAAGAGGACAGGAGAGAAAAAATAAATCCCAATAGAAAAGTCAACAGAACTGAAAACAAACAAACTGAGAAGTTTTCATCATGGCCAATAATTCCATGGGCTCCATTACTGAAATCTAAGAAAATATGGCAAACACCTCGCTCATGTGGGGCTGTGTCTGGTTACGTCAAGTCCTCCAAGCCAAAACCGTGCCATAAAGTTTACCAGGGTTTTCTGATTTTCACCAACTAATTTTTGTGCTATTACACTTGGAGCCTATATTTTATTTTACATATGTTAGGAAATGGAATAAATCGTTTGATTATAGGCAGTTTTAAAAATATTTAACTGTTTGTTTGTCTTTTTTTTTAGAACAGTGCCATAGTTTCTCATTTATTCACCCATTTCCTGATAAAAGTTCCAAGGAGAGAAGGTCTTCCTTGAAATGCCCATGTTTGGGGTACAAGTCACTTACCTTTCAGATTTCCGAAGGGGAGAGTAAGTCACATTCAGCTACTTGTTGGGACTACCCCTAGGACAAGTTCAAAATGGATCATATGGATGGATACTTGTGAAGAGAAGTTCTTTGCAGGACAATCTCATTGCCTGAATTAACAAAATACACATGCTTTATTACAGTATGACTTTGTCATGGCCTAAGAACATTCGCTTATAGGTTATTAACAGTGTCTTTATAGAATTCAAGTGGAAAACTCAAAATATTGCTATATACTTTCTATTTGCAAGAGTGAAGCTTCTCTGTACTTTACAAGAGTCTCTTGTTTATAAAGAAATAACTTCCAAGCTATACTAGTGTTTTTATTATCTCCTAGTGATTACTTTGCTATTGAAAATTACAGCAACCCAATGTTTAGGATCCATAGTAGTATTATCATGAAACACACATTAGATGAACTACCGTTTAAGTTTTGTTTCGGTTTCAATTATTTTCATTTGCCCAGGACCTCATGCCAAATTTCATCCAAGAAAATATTAGGGTTTCAGAAATTGCTTTACATGATGTCTATCAAACAATATTTAGATGAACAAAATACTGTTTTGCAAGTCCTGCTCCCTGGAGAGTCATGAATAACCACTTGTATTCGGTAAAGAGAATCCATGGAAACAATCCTGCCTTCAAAAATGCAACGTGTTATTTTTCCAGCAATTCATATTCTAGGTGCCTGATCAAACCAGCAATTAAACCACCTAAGCACTATAGAGATAAAATCAGATTAAAATCAAATTATGGCACCTGGTCAAATACTTCCCCAAGTAAAAACAAAAAGAGAGTCGATAATCCCTTTTTAAAGATGCCAGATGCTTCAACTCATAAGATAAATAGCATTTAACAAGTCCTAGCTCACAGCGGCAGCGCCTGTTCTAGTCTGTCCTGTGGCCCTTGCAGTAAACTTCCCTTAGCCTGTGTCTCTCTTGCTTTCTCCAGTCCCTCAAGTGTGTGTACAGATATGCACATGCACCCATTTAATGAGTCTGTTTTGAAGTTTATCTCTGCATGAAATCATAGCCTGTCATTGTAGTGGAATACTCTCAACTTTGAGAGGTCAGGGACAACGTCTTTTGTTCTCCTCAGATCCCCAGTGATTGGCACAAAGTAGATGCTCAATAAATATTTTTGAATGAATTAGTGAATGAATAAACCGGTGCCAAGATACTCACCTCCACACTGCTGAATCCAGCTGTCCAATCTCAGTCCTCATCTTTTTGACTCATGAGCCAATTTGACAAGGTTGGTCACTGTCTCTTCTCTGGAGTCTTCATCCTGCATCACTGGTCACTCTTTTCCAATCTCTTGCTGGTTTTTCTTCTTCTCCATGAGTTTTGAATGTCAGAGAGCCTTGGGATTCAAGTGGTGGTGTTCTTTTTCTCTGTTCTTCAATGAGCTCACCCATTCTTAGAACTTTAAATGACATCGCTAACTTTCAAATTTATACCTGCAGCCTAGACCTCATTCCTGAATTCCAGACTGTCTGGTTCCTTACTCCCCACCCGGATAGCTTACAAGCATCTCAAACTGCCATATTCCAAAAGTGAACTTCTACTTTCTCTCCTATCCACCCAGCCCCTTCTGCCTCAAACAGGCTCCATTTGCATTCATCTCCATATCAGTATGGGTTTTCTATCCTCTAGATGCTGTTACCCACTGCTCCTACTGCCACTGCAACTAGAGGTGCCACCAGAAGCAGAAAAATGGCTTCTCTCTTCCTCCTACTTTCATGCTCCCAACGTGCTTCCCATTGGCAGGTCTCATGTGGAAACCGGCTGGCAAGGGAGTCTAGGAATAGTAGTTCACAAGCTTCCAGCCTCATGGTACAGAGGAGTTTAGAAGATTGAGTGTGGAGCTGAGCATCTGTGAGCGTTATCTGCCACAGCCTCCTAACTGCTCTGCCTGCTTCCACCCTTACCCCCTAGTCTAATCTCAACACTTCACTCAGAGGCATTTACTTTAAAAGCAAATCACGGGGCCAGCCCAGTGGTGTAGTGGTTAGGTTCGCGTGCTCCACTGGGTGACCTGGGAGTTCAGATCCCAGGTGGGGACCTACACACCACTCATTAACCCATGCTGTGGCGGTGTCCCACACACAAAATAGAGGAAGACTGGCACAGCTGTTAGCTCAGGGACAATCTTCCTCACCAAACAAAAAATAAAGAAGGAGAAGAAGTCAGTCAGATCATGTCACTCCTCTGCTAAAATAAAATATAATATAACTAACTTCACTTACTCCCTGTTTCACTGAATAAAAGACAACAAAGTGCTCACAGATGGCTACAAATGGGATGTGAGCTCACCTCTGTGATCTTTCTGACTTTATCTCTGCATTGTTGGCTCTGTGGCAGCACCCCTGGCCTCCTTGCTGTTCCTGGAATACAGACACACTCCCTTTTGCCCCTGGCACTGGTTGTTCTGAAAACCTAAAACGTTCTTTCCCCAGGTGGCCACTTGCCCGATTCCCTCATCACGATGTCTTTGCTCCTTGTTACTTTCCAGTGAGGCCTATTTTAAATTGCAACCCTCCCACACCAGCATTTGCTGGTACCCCTTACTCTGATTTCTTTGTTGGTGGTGGTGTTTTGAACATAGCCCTTATCATCTTCTAACCCACAGAATAATTTACTTGTTTAGTTTTTTGGTTTTTTTAATTATCTCTTCCTACATAAAAAGTGAAAGCCCACAAAAGCAGGAATCTTTGTTTAATGACATTTCAAGGGTGTGGGCCAGTATCTTAATGGTTATGAAAAACACCTTCCCATATGCTTAGCCTAACGGACCTGAGGGCAGGGCTATTGATAACCCAGCAATCTGTTTGTGTGGACAATAAACATAATAATTGCAGGTAACTCTTTCATGCCTTTTCTAAGAAATAGCTTTTCAGGAGGAAAAATAAAGAATGGGCATTACAGTGAAATAGTATAGTAGCTGCAAAGTGACGGAACCAAGTATTTCATTGGATCGCCTTCATCTGCGGGAGGAAAAAGACAATCAAACCGGCTTAAGCCAAGAGTCGATTTACTGACTGTATATGTGAAAAGTCCAGTAATTGATGTGGAAATGGAAGGACTGGATCCAGATCTTGTGGTTCTAACACCAGGAATCGGTCTCACTTCTCCACATGACTTTTCCTTCTGTCTTGGCTTTCTTCTCGGACAGGCTCTCCCCAAATGCTGCCAAATCTGGCCACCAGTAGCAACAGCCTCCCTCCTGCCCATGAGAACCATGGTGGAGAAAGCGGCTCTTTCCCCAGGGTTCCAGCAAAGTACTCTGAGTGTCCCTCACTGGCCTGGACAGTCCCCGCCCTCCTCAAACCAATCATTCAGTCTTCAGCCATCCTGGTTTGGGTTAGATGCTGTTCCTCAGGCCAGGGACTGGGGTGAAGCCACTCAAACCAGAAAACAGTGAAGGATAAGTGGTTTAACAAGAAGTCAAGGGCTTTTACCAAAAGAGAAAGAAGGGCGACCCGGCTGGCATTACAGCTGATGTCACCTGTGTTATGAAATGCCGGGAGTTCTGAGGAAAAGTTAACAGCGTGTCTAGAGTAAAGTGATAAAAAATGAGGCTGCAAAATTAGGTTGAAGTCTGACGGGGAAGAGCTTTCTTTTTTTAAATGAGAAAAGCACCGGATGAGGTCTCTGGAGACCTGAGTTCTACTCCCAGCTCTCTCCAGAACCATCTGTGTGACCTTGCCAAGTAACTTAATATCTCTATCAATGCATCCTCAACTGTAAAATGATAAATTACACTAAAATAATCTCCGTGTTTCCCACCAACTCTGTCAAGTGACAATTCCAATGGAGCAAACTAGGTGTCACAGCTAGCTGATGTCACCCTCCCACAGACACACTTATTATCACAAGAAGGAAACACCCTCTCCCTACTCCCTTGTCATGGGTTAGGGACACTGTTTAGCACCCGTAGCTGGTACAATAGAGCATTCTGACAGATGTTAAAATTAATTCCAGGCAGAAAGTCAGTGCTTCCCAAGGGGGCCTGTGCCTCACTGTTACCTGGAGAGCTCAGAAAAAGTAGATTCCTGGGCTCACCCCTATGGCATTGAATGGGGCTCAAGAATTTGTATTTTTACGATTCTACTTGGTTTTGCTTACTCCTACTCTCCAGGCTTGGAAGTGGCAGTTTTCTTTTGGTCAATATTACTAAATACTAATCAAAAATTGTATATATCTATATGCCAAGAGAGATCCTGCTTTGGGAATATGTATCCCCAAGACATAGTCTATATTGCTTGACTCTAAAATATGGGGGGGGGGGGAAATAAACACCACATTTACTAACATATTTGAGTTTTTTATGCTGAGATGTACTTCATTCGCGAAGAATGAAGGTTTTCATAATATATATGATGCATCATCTTCATTCTGCCAGTTTCAGAGAATTAGTCATAACTTTGCAATTTTCACATAACATCCGAGTCACAATAAGAATGAAAGCACCCTTCACATATCTTCAGTCATTGATTTTTTTCAGTACATCTCCAGAATTTTTGAAAATGTGATGATGTAAGTACCTCAATATCAATCATATCTAGTGCATCTGTTCCCTTTTGTGATGAATGTTTGAATAGATCGCCACATTATATTTGATCAAGTTCCTAAGCTAATCAATAATTAGCTTTAGTCTTAATTTTTCTCAAGACATTTTTCTTAGATCAGTTTAGCCAATATTTTTTTTAAGTCCATATATTGAGCTGTGGTCAAATTAGTCACACAAAAAGCCTGAGACCTGAGGAAATGACATGTCAACACAGACATGTTTACCTTAAGTCATTTTGTCATTCTGACTTCCTTCTCGTCTGTGTGAACGTGCGCTCTGGGTTTACCAGGAAATAGTTAACTTCAGCGTGATGCGTGTTCCTCCAACTGTAGGGAGGGACTTCTGAGAAAGCTGATGTGACGTATAAATACAATACAATATTTCCTTTCCACAAGCAGAAGAAAATAAACAATAGGTGAGCACGTGCACACGCGCACACACACACATTTAAGATCAGCATGTGAAGTGCTCTGAGAAGAGGTTAAGTAAATGGTTGCTTCAAGTACAGTGGGAATCACCTCCAAACATCAAATAAATTCTGACTTTGCTACAAGAAAAAGACTTGAAGAAATATATGCTTCCTTTGCTGGAATAAAGAATAAAGGTGATGTTTTATTCTTTAATGGGCTACCCTTCTTGCTAGGGCTTTTTTGAAATAGAAAGAATTAATATTTCAAGGCACTAAATTGTTCATGCATTCATTTATCAAATATTTATTTAGCCTTTACTATGTCTAGACGGAGCACTTGGTACCAGGGAGATTTTTAGTACCTTCCATATAAACCAAGACGGAAGCTCCAATAGTTTTTGGAGTGGTTTTCCTGAGGCCTTGAAGTTGCCACAGCCCTGCAAATCAGAGGAGAGCTCAGGAGCACCTCAAGGCCCCTCTCTGCCCAAATGCATCAGCTGTCGGGACTCACAAGAGACACGCCCTTCTCCCCCAGGTTCATAGAGCACCTCCTCCGAGCCTACTGCTTCTCTCATCCTAATTCTGGGAAGGCAAATCGGACGCAGTCCCTACCTCCAGGAACTCCCATTCCAGAGAGAGAGAGGGGACATGTAAGAAATCCCAAGTGTGTGACAAAACCTACAATAATTGCAAGAGCAGAGAGCCAGGGCACCAGGGAGGGCAGCTAGCTCCATCTCTCACGGCAGCACGGGGCATTGAAAGTGACGTGAAAAGGAGGCAAGAAGGACCATGTGAGTGTGGCAGAAGGAAATGTTGGTGCAAGTGCAAACGCAAGCATGGCCAGGTTGGGGGCAGTAGCACTGGATGTCTCGAGAAAAAGGGAAATGAGGAGGAGGGATAAAGAGCAAATACAAACGTAGATGTATTTTGGGCGTGAGACCGGAAGTTGAAGCCTTTCTTCCTGCATCGTCAATTTTCTCTGTGAAGTAGTCTGAGTCATCTTAGGAGGGGGAGCATCTTGAAGGCCCCACTGTTGCAATCTCTTCCTTGGGTGACGTGAGGAATGTGAGGACCTTGTGACAAGAAGCTGAGAATGAAAATGCACAACCCTATGGGGCAGCAACAGCTAAAGGATCCCTCCAGTCATTTCTGAGTAACACTTTGGCTGTAAGCTTGACTGTGAGGGGTGAGAATCCACCAGGAAATATCAAAGGATTTAGCTGGAATGTGGCAGATATGGAGGGCAGAGGGCAGAGCGGAAGAGATAGGTGGAAGTTGCCTCACAGAAACATTGGGCCCTGAAGGATGTCAGGGTTGCAAGCAATTTCGAGAAAAGATGAATCCTGAGTTAACTAATCAGGTAGAACAAGAAAGCTGTTGTAGGAAAATGTTCATTTACTTCATTATCCTGCTTACAAGCCAGCACTGAGAGCCCTACACATTGAAAGTTTTTAGAATTTATCATGCCAGAGATTAAACAGTTTGTCATTAATATTAAATTTAGAGCCATTTAAAATTAAAAGCAATATTCTATTTTTGTGTGTCAATAATAATTGAAAAACTAACCTTTAAATATGATTTTCTAGGGGCTGGCCAGGTGGCATAGTGGTTAAGTTCGTGTGCTCTGCTTCAGTGGCCTGGGGTTCACGGGTTTGGATCCCGGGCGTGGATCTACACACTGCTCATCAAGCCGTGCTGTGGCAGAATCCCACATACAAGAAACAGAGGAAGATTGGCACAGCTGTTAGCTCAGGGACAATCTTCCTCAAGCAAAAAGAGGAAGATTGGCAGTAGATGTTAGCTCAGGGCCGATCTTCCCCACCAAAAAAATAAAAATAAAAATAATGTGATTTTCTATATTTGTTTTGGCAGACATTCTGTCTACATAAGCTATTGATAAGGAACATTGTAACCTCATCAAAACTTCTTAGCTATATATTCATGGCCATCCTAAGCCTCTCCATGTTAGTTTCCTTTTCTTCAACCATATCTACACAAGTCCTTCTCTAGTCAAACTGGTCTATTCAAATACAATTTCATTCTCCTTCTATATTAGAGCCTACACTAACCCCTTGCCCAACACCACTACCCTATTCCTATTTTTCTGGATTGTCTTCACCCTCAAGACACAGATGGCACCTCTTCTTTTCCATGGTGCAGTCACAGATAATTCTTCTCTATGGCGATGTCTCCGTTATTTGAACCTCTGTAGGAGACATTGCCCATCTCCCTCTTCCAGTACCTATAAACATCATCTGTATTATAATTTTTTTTATTTCTGTTTAATCTACAATTTGATTTGTAGAAAAGCTAAAACCCTTTCCTACATGTCTTTGTATCCTCTCCCTTCCCATCACCACTCTCAACTCCTTCTCTCCAACATCTCACTCTCTGACCACCACACTCTGCATATTCCCAGCTCTCACCCGCTCCTTCCCATCACGAATGATCTCCTGCTTCATCCACTTTGTCTCTTCCTTAAGCTCTCCATTTTCTCTCACTCCGTCTGTTAGTTCTTTTTGTTTCCTTTTCCAGTCAGTCCAGATCACATGGTCCACCTCTTAGACCACAATATTGTTGACACCATCAGCTTCCTTATTGTTAAAAATCAACCACCCGGTAAAATTCCAAGCCTCCGTTCATCCAGCCATCAACCACCTCCACTACTGTATCCAGATTGCTGAAGTCACCTGAACGTTAGCACCATGGTCTCCCGTCTCAATGATGCACTGCCATCTTTCCATTTGATACCAGGCAGCTACTTCTCCCACTCTGCACTACAACTTTTCCAACATCTTTCGTGTTCTCCTCTAGTCACCAACCCCACCAATACTCCTCTCACTCACAAGAGATTTGCCTTCCAATTTACAGGGAAAATAAAGGCTATTCAGTCTCATCTCCCATAACATCATGCCTTCCTTCTTCCAACAAATTTATTTGTTCCTACATTATCACTTTTCTTATATCCCAATGGATGGACAATTTCTTCTTCTAACCAAAGCTAATCAAGTTATCTGCATCATGTTATACATTATCCTCCTTTCCTCTTCAAAGACCTTGCTATTTTTCCCTCTCCTTCCTATATCTTCAACTTCTTGCTCTCTACCACCTCTTTTCTCTCAGCTTACCAACATGATCAAGGGTGTCTGTATTTTAAAAGAAAGAGAGAACAAAGCCCACCTTTGACCCTATGTCTCACTCAGCTATGGCCCCATATTTGTATCTATTTATTTCTGTGCCCCCAAACTCATTGTATCTCACTATAGACCTACTTCAGAACCCTCTACTCCATTGGAGTGGCTCATGCAAATGGCGCCGATGACATCCAGAGGATTTTTAGTTCCTATCTTTCCTGATTTCAGTATTGAATGCTGTTGGCTGTTTTCCACGTTCTATCCCTCTCCTGGTTTCTAGAAATAACCCCTTCTTGTTTTTCATCTATCTCCCTGGGCATTCTGTTTCAGGTCCCACCAGGTTCCCTCTTCCTAGATCTTTCTCAGGATCATGTCTTCAACTCGCTTCTCTTCTTATTATACAGTTTCCAACCCCAACTGTGCATTGGAATCACCTCAGAGATTTTTTGTAATTATTGATGCCTTGTCCCCATGCTAAGAGATTTTGATCCACTTGATCTGGGGTGGGTTCATACATCAATATTAAATGAAATAAGATAAGTCTGTCACCAGTAATTCTGGTGTATGGCCATGTTTAAGAACTACTGCTCTTCAGAGTTGCCCTGAGTAATTCTATCCATTTCCATAACTGTGCTTACTATCCATTATCAACTTTAGATTAGCCAGTACAACAGGGGAAGGAAATCATAGATAATCATCATGTCACAGAGAGAACATAAATAGACAAAATACACTACAAAATGGTTTTGCTTTTTTTTTTTTTTGAGGAAGATTAGCCCTGAGCTAACATCTGCTGCCAATCCTCCTTGTTTTGCTGAGGAAGACTGGCCCTGAGCTAACATCCATGCTCATCTTCCTCTACATTATATGTGGGATGCCTGCCACAGCATGGCTTGACAAGCAGTGCAAACCTCCATACCCGGGATCTGAACCGGTGAACCCTGGGCCGCCAAAGTGGAGTGTGCAACCTTAACTGCTGTGCTGCTGGGCTGGCCCCCAAAATGGTTTTAAAGCCAATCTATTTAGTAAAATTTATTTTAAATATTCAGAGACTTATTTACCACTCTAGAGACATCATTCGAAAATATTAAAGTAATATAAGTGCAATGGTTTAGGGTTATACCATTTAAAGCAAAATTGGTCAAAATGTTTCAAAGCTGTCTTTCTCATATTGCTGTCTCTTAGAGCTGAGCTCTCCTTTTGTTCAGATACGAAAACAAAGACTACACGCCTGTTTCACTCTGAGCAAATTCTCCTCTTCACCTTTTAAATGGTCCAGCCAATCACTGGCATCACACAGCTCATCTCCGAGAGTGATCTCGTTTTTGCTGGTTGATGCCTGCCTTTTGCTATCACTGCCATTTTTCTTCTTTCCATATGGTAATGTTTTCTTTTCTCAGAGTCTCATACCTGAATTCATACACATTATAGTCAAAATACTCATTTTTTAAAACAACTTTCTGGTCTCCAAAAAGCACAATTCGCGGGGGCCAGCTGGTAGTGGTTAGGTTCACGCAATCCACTTTAGCAGCCTGGGGTTTGCAGGTTCATATCCCGGGCGCACACCTACACACTGCTCACCAAGCCATACTGCGGCAGCATCCCACATACAAAGTAGAGAAAGATTGGTTCAGATGTTAGCTCAGGGCCAATCTTCCTCACCAAAAAGAGAAAACAAAAAATCCAAAAACATGATTCTCAATTTAAGCTCATACCAAGAGAATGACAGTTCCACCATGCCAGTGTCCTAGCCTCATATCCATTTGGTAACGAAGAGGGCTTCCCAAATTGTAGTAAAGGCTATGTAATCTATTGTTTACTAGACTCCAGATGACAAATATCTTCTAAAATATTGCTTCATGGACATTTTACTTTTTCAATAAATATAGTTTAATATTTTTTAACTGCATTGAATCCACAACCTGCAAAAAGTGTATGCTGAGCACCATGCATGTCTAGAGCTCCCAAATCTATAGTTCTATCTCCAATTCTTTGTAATAGTTTCAGACCGTCCTGCCAAAGGTCTGCTGAAAAATCCACCTGGATGCTGCATCGACACCTCAGTCCTAAAGTGTCCAAAATGAATGACTCATCTCTGTCATCCTTTCTCAGGAGCCTGCTCCTTCTCCAGACTCCCTCTTTTGGTGATCAGCACAACTATTACCACCTGATCGCTTCGCCAAACCCTGCGGAGGCTCAGGACTCTGAACGAGATTCTCCTTTGCTGTTCTTATTCTGCTAGAACCCCCACATGGGTGATTTGGGTCAGAGGTAGAGTTAGCAAGAAATAGTGAGCCAATTTTCAGGAAGTCATGGGGACAAAGAAAAAACAAATTTTCAGCAACTGTTTTGAAACTTACCTGACTCAATTCTGAGTCCCTGGATAGAGAACCACAGCCTCAGGAAGCACGTGTCTATGTCGTGCATTTCGTCACTTAATTGCACCATGCCTGGTGTGGTAAATTGACTCGACATACCTGTGTATGCCTTGTCTCGAGAAGCAGTGTGGTGTGGCGCAAAGTGCACTGACTACGGGGTCAGAAAACCAAGGTCCTAGGTCATTAACTAGCTCTGTGAACTTGGGAAAGACCTATATATGTCCTACCCCACTGACTAGTGTCTTCTCTGCCCTCCAAACCAGCGAGGACACAAAACCATTCCTTTGGACAAGAATTTTAAAATGCTCATTTAGTCACTTGACCTTGGCAGCTCCTCAATTTAGCTCACACTCAGTTCTTTCCACAGTGCCCCTTACTGTTTGTTTATATTATTTTTGTCCATAGGCCAGATCTTCTTTAAGGTCTTATTCATGTCGACATCCCACCTTCCAACCCAACCCCTCATCCCTACCCACTCCCAACCCCATCCCCCCAGCATTATGCATGTGGTAAAAAATCAAAAATGTTTGCCCAAACTTGCTGAAAACAAAGTAGTAATATGCATCAAGTACCTTAAAAAGAAACATATTCTTTGACCTAATTATTCTTTTAGAACCTAGCCTTAATAAACAATTCCAAATGCAAACAAGAATATGTCTGCAAAGATGTGCAATATAGTGTTGTATTAATTGCAAAACAAAACAAAACAAAAAGAATGGGACAACACAAATAATCATCAAGAACCAAAGACTAAGTAATTCATGGAATATCCAATGATAGAAGCTTCATATATATGAATATATGATACGTGATGGAAAGGTACTAAGCATCCTTGAAAAATGTCTTAATAGGAAAGAAAACGTACTATTAAGTGAAGAAATTAAGTGTACAAAAACTATATGCATTATGATTCCAGTTGTGCACATACCACACACATACAAACAAAGAAGACTAGGGAAATACGCCAAAATGTTAACCATGGATATTCTTGGAGTGAGATTATGGTATGATTATTTTTCTTCCAAATCCTTTTCTGTATTTTCAGT